CCCCATTCTTTCTAATAACATATGCCAATGATTTTTCTTATATTCAAAACGAAACATCTGTTTTTTATGCTACTTTCCATCATAATAACAAGTGAAGCAGAATAAGAGACCGCGCCTTGCATTTCAATTTTCAATCACTTTATACATTGTATTAAAGAAAACAAAATATACTAGAAGAAGCTCTACAATTTGGATAAGACTGCTCATTTTATAGTTACACGTTTTGCTCTCAAAATGGGCAAAGGTTTTGGCTATCGAATTTCGATCCTGCAAACAAGATTATTTACTGGTACGCAACAAATTTCTTTTTTTTTTATTTCGTTAGTTAATAAGTCATATCGATGGCCAAGTTTAGACCCATTGATATGTGCTCCAATTATGTTTTCTTATTCATTCTATCTACATAATAACACATTACAACTGTATAGATGTTCGCGCATAGAATTGTGTCCATTTTGAGAACAAAAAGTATAACTATAAATTAACCAGTCTTATGTATATTGTAGAGCTTTTCAAACAACTTCTTATAGTAAATTTTATTTTCTTAAATACAGAGTATAAAGTGATTGAAAATTGAAATGTAAAGCACGATCTTTTATCCTGCCTTGCTCGTTATTATGATGGGAAGTAGCATAAAAAACAGATGTTTCATTTTGAGTATAAGAAAAATCATTGGCATATGTTATTAGAAATTTGTTATCATCATTTTTGTAGAGTTTTTCGCGGAGCATCTTTTGAAAAAAAATCAAGGTTCTTGTCATTTATCCATGTTAAGATAGATGCCAAATAAAAAGTGTGCAAACATTTTGGAACACCCGATATAAATTGAAATGATTATATATTGATATTTATATTAGTCATCTGTATTACAATATTTATATTATTTATCTCAAATTGGTATAGCTATGTCACCATTAAGTAATAATTCATTATTTCTTGGTTACAATCAAAATCCATTTTTGGAATATTTTCAACGTGGTCTTTGTGTTTCATTATCAACAGATGATCCACTACAATTTCATTTTACTAGGGTCAGTATTTTTCGAAATCTTATGATTGAATATATTGATTATGAGCGATTTCTTTTAATCACAATTTCAAGTTCACATTTGATACATAGGATTCCCTAATCGAACATCTTGTAAGCAAGACCTTGAAAATATAATGGTTTGCACACAGAACAGCAGATCAGAGTTCAGAAAGACGACAGACTGTTTCGAACTTACTACCTCACTTCATCCTTATTCTCGATCACATCGACAAGCTCAAACTCACCATGCGTTAGTATCGTCGTGCATATCTTTACAGATCTTTTATTAATCATATAATCCTAGCTGTTCGAGATTTCTGTATTTGGTATTTTACTTTTTCGAGATTTTTTGTTTCTTAATACTGATTTTTTAGGATTTTAATTTTTTACAATTTTTGATTCCTTCGAGATTTCTTTCTTTCAAGAGTTAAATATCACGCAATAATATGAATAAGATGACTGCATGATTTACATAATTATCCAAAGGATCTAATTGTTAATTATTGGAAAAATAAACTACTACAAAAATTTTGGGATTTAGATCCATTATTTTCTTCTCACAACGTTTTGTTTTATTTCG